TTTACTGTAGAATGTGATAATACCGCATATCGTACCAGAAGGTTAGTACACTGTTGTACTCGATTATCTCAAATTGTACATCTATTATTTGTTGGGATACACTAATTTTGTGTGCCATAGTACATATTTACATGTCTATTCTGTCAGAGAAGGTGTGTTGACATGTAAAAAATTACACTTTGAGATATTGAGACCTTGCCTTGCCTCTCTTGAATATGTAAGGTTACAGGAGCTAATGTTAATAAAATCTCCTCAAAATGGTATGATATGTAGAGTGATAATTAGCTCTTCTGGCTCTTGAACTGGATGAGTGATAGACAAGTGGAGTGATCACAAATCTTGGAAATTAAAGGTTTGTGAGTGGTGGTCAGCATTTGGGAGAATTGTGGGAAATAGACAAAATATATGTCTACTCTTCAAAGATTTTCAGTATGTCTGAATTTTGGTGATCGCTTTTACTTTACTTTTATTGAGTTTCATTTACTTAAAGGTGCAATGTTGATGAGAAAGTGCAACTTGAACTTGGCATAAAAGCACTACTTGTAGCACACATGCGTATTTGATGAAATTCTGTAATACATTTGTGCAGTGGTTATTTTAGTACATACAATAACAATCACTGCACTTGCCTAGTAATGACTCTAATTTTCCATCTAGCGAATACTTTTGTAATAAGTTAAGTTTTGGAAGAAAAAATCTCTCCAAAAATATTGTATTTCAAATCTTTGCAAGGAAACATCTCATGTTGACAAAACTCTTCTTCGTTGTAGGACTGGTCTGATCTATGCATCATGTCTGTACACATCACTAACACTGCTGGGATTTATGATGCTATTAATACAACAATTGTATCTAATATCACACGGCATCACATACAGGGAATACAGGTTTCAGGACCATACACATTACAGCAAAAACTACCTCAGGAATTGGATCAACTTTATATTCAACCGAGAAAAAAGACATTTAGAAATTGTCTAACTGAATGTGGCAGCAGATCTGTTATTACAAAGATAGTCTTTTGATATAGAATTTTAAAACTTGAAGATGCATTTTTGAATGTCCATGACTTTAGGATGTGAATGTTATTTTGATGCCCTCATCAAATGATACTTTAAAAAATTACTCGCTTCGTGGTCAAAGATGTGAATGTGGATTGTAGTCTGACCAACTGTCGAGAAAATATAATGAGTACTATTTTCTTGCAGCAGTGTTTTTATTATGCTTCTTAACTATTTCTCAGACATGTCTTAATTAAAAAATCAGATTCAAATCTCACACATACATTATGCATTTGTATGCATATGAATTTGTTTTGTGATAAATTTCTAAGTGGCCGAAAATTTATCAATTTCTTCCATTTCAAAACCAGTCGTGTATAAACCGATTCCATTCAAATTTTCCTGGATTGGACAAAATAGATCCTTGATGCGTGTCATTTTGTTTTTCAGACTTGTTTGCATGACATGCTCTGACCAATCACATTCAAACATTATACATACATAAGTCATGCATATTAATTAACATTGCTGACCCATTCAAAATGGCTGACCCATTCAATTTAGTTTACTATTGCACAATGGTGTCATGACATGACTGATTTTCAAACACACTTTTCACAGATTTTTTTATAGTATATGACTTTGAATGTCAAAGACTCTAAATTATTGACAGGGACTGTCATTTACAATTACTTGTTGATAAAAATGTTTATTGATAATGTTCAGTGTTGGTTTAAAGTAACTTCAATAAATGAAAACAGTGTGTGTAGAAAGTGGTTTCTTGGAATTCATTGCAACAAAACAAAACCTGTAATCTCTGTCAGTTGAGAGTTGTACGACTGTTTATCAAACTACAGGTAATCAATTACCCCAGACCATTCATCCTGGTGTTATCGTCCACTAGTGAACTTACTTTAAGGCGATAGCAATAACATCAGGACGAATGATCTAGGGTAGATAATCTGAGACTGTAAAATTATCAAATCTGGTGATGTTCCACTTATTGGCTTCATGTGTATGCCTGGCTACTCTAATATACTGTAAAATACTTTATTTTAGCTGGAATTAATTTTTGCTGAAAACACTTTTTGAGTGCTTTGTATGGAATTTTATTTTCACTGATTTTTGGCAAGTTGAATGTAAAATATAGTAAAAAAAGGTATATTCGCTGCATTTTAGTTTCACTGAATCACTCCTTCAGTGAAAATAGCGAAAATTAATTCCAAGCAAAAAGTATTTTACAGTACTGTACCGATATTTGTCATCTTAGACTATGTTGAATATTGTCATTCTTTCAGTATTCTGC